GCTTGCTAAGTACACGTAGGTATTTGTTGTTGAGATACGAGTAATTGGAATAACTTATAAGTATTTGCTAAATCCATGTGCATTTCTCTGATAGAATAGCTCAATTTGCTTACTTACACATTCATATCTAATTATATAAAGGTGGCAACCTGTGGAGCAATTGGACCTTCCCAATAAAGATGGTTTGAAAGGATTCTACAAGGTAGATGTTGATATTCCGGCTGATGACTGGGCAAATATAACCCAGTTCTATGATGTCTTAGTATTCAACACCGGACACTGGTAATAATTTTTCCTTGGATTTCACTAGTTTGTGGCATTGCTTATTTATGAAAGAATATTTTACAGGTTTTGGAGGTCACAAAAGCTATTATATTCATTGTAACATTTATCTATCGTACCTTTTTATGAATAATCTTATTTTTTTTTCCTGGTGTAGCTGGTGGTGCATAATGCGCATCAAGATATTTTGTGCTCTATTGAATGTTGAAAACTTGACAAAGCAAGTTGCCCATGATCAAAGAACTAAAAAACTATCAAATAAATAACTATTAGATCAAGTTAAATCAAGCCGTAGTTTCATTGTTTCATTGAACTTGAACTTTCTCTTCTGATCCTGATTTTCATCCTCAGATATATCCAAATTTGGCATCTATTGATTTCTTTTAAAATCCATTGCTTATTTTTATTCATAGAAATCAATGCTTCCTTTTTAGATGTGGAAATGGTTAAATTACTCATTTGAAATTCTAAAGCTTGTTGACTAAAAGTAAATTCTCCAACTGAATCAATCTTGGTGATGTAGCCCAATCAGATAAAGCAATCATCAAAGCATGATATTCTCGATTAAAAGCATGAACCAAAACTCTGTGTTGTTTAATTTTATCGTTTTGAGAACTTTGATATGGATGCCGATCTCATCAAACAATATTCTAAATTTTAGCAAAAGTTGGGAGATGATCATGCTACTTTTACTTCAATGATGCAATCTTGTTCTCCAAAAATTGAATTCGTGTCCCATTGGTTATTAAGTGGAAAAATATCCACTCAACAAATAACCTAAATTCAGGTTTTTTCATATTTAATATCTGAAATAATTTTGAGGAACTCTGAATAAATATTTAAACTTCCTAAAGTAGCATCGTACGTTGTACATCTTTGTTACACATATCATTGTGTTTATGTACACATAGAAATCCCAATACTGTTTTAGCTCATGGTAAAACAGTTGTTATGAGCTTACTTCCATTCATTAATTTTGTTAGATAAGACCTGTGTTTATTACAAACAGCTTGCTTCATATGGTTCACTAAAACACAAAATCATATCGGAAATGAGATCCATAGCCGTTATTTCTATACAGAACTTTATCTTTGTCAGTTCAACTTTGTAATTCATAAGTGAAAGCCCTGTTGATTTACAGACAAGTTTGCACATTAAATTTATCAACTGAGCCTTGCAACGTAACTTTCATAGTGCATGTCTTTGCTATCATATCAATATTGACTGCTTATTCTTTCTTTTGTTTGTTGGAACACAGGTGGGGGCTTGATAAATTTCCAAAAGAAACACCTCTTGTTTTCTACAAGGGTGGAAAACCGATAGTCCCTCCTCTTGAAATTTTAAATGGACTTGAATTGGTTCTTCAGAGTATGGTATCTTACATCAATAGGGAAATTCCTATTAAGGTTGTAAAAATCTGGCGTACCC